GTTTGGCTCAATGGATAGAGCGTCAGCTTGGGGACTGACAGGTCTTGGGTTCAATTCCTGTCAAGGGCATATGCTTAGGTTTCGGGCTGGAACCCCAGTGGGGGGCGTGCAGGAGACAGCCAATCTATGATTATCTCTTCCCTTTCCTCTCTGAATCAATAAAATATATTTTTTAAAAAGACTACAAATTCCAGTTTATATAGTCCAAACAGAAACCAGTTTTAAATACATATTGAGGTAAAAGGTCAGGATTACTTTTTATACTTAATTTTCAATGAAAATAATTATCACAGAAATTTTGAAAGCAAACAAATTTGTAAAAAGTTGATTAAACTTTAGTATTTATTTTGATCTTTGCTAAAGATTTGCCTACGAGGTCAAGAGCCTGCTTTCTGGGGTAGACTGAGAAGACAGAAACAAGTGTCTTATTGCGTTAAACCATTTATAGTAGAACCCGCTTATGTAGGACACTATAGTTCTTAAAGTGCAAATTCAAGTGTGAATTAGAGAAAAAGAGAGATCAAGGATGCCAACAAAGTGTAATCCTAAACTATGGGAAGACTGATTTACTACCTACTCAATGAGGAAGAGTAAGAACGGCGCAAGCTTGAAGGTGAAAATTAGAGGTTTTTTAATACGTTAGGGTGATTCTGCCTTTAGACATACAGTGGAGATGTTGAATAAGTTTGCTATACTGTCTGAATATCAGATAAGAGGTCAGGGTGTAAGTTGTCATCATAGATATGGTACTCAAGACCCAAGAATGTCCACCTGAGGACTTTATAACTAGCTATAAGATAAAGTCCAGTCCAAGGACTGAGTCCTGAGCCACTCCTACATTTGGAGGTTGGGACATGAAGAACTGACACCAGAAATGGAGAAAGAGCTTAAACCAAGAGCATGTGGGTCCATGAAAGAAGTGCTTTGAATGAGGGAGTCTAACAGTGTTAACCTACCGACAGATAATAGGATGAAGACTGTGGCTTGGCCCTGGGATTTGGCAATAGGGAGCTCACTGTGATTTTAACAGAGCAGATACTTGTAGAGGTGATAAACAAAGCCTGACTGCAATGCCTTCAACAGGCAGGTGAGGAGAATTGGAGACAAGTATGACAGCTCTTTCAAGATTCTGGCTATAGCAGAGAGTGAGAATTAGAAGAGGGATACTATAGTGTGTAGGATATGCATATGCTATAAATGATCCAGGAGAAAGGAGAAAAAAAAATGATTCAAGAGACCGATAACAATCCTTCCAACAAACTCACACAAGGTATACTTTCTGTGATTCCATTGGGATAAAGTAATTAGCATTTAGTTGGGGAAGTGTCAATAGATGTATTCATGTTATTTTTTCCTTCTTCATACACATGCATATCAAAAGGCCTGTTACATATGTTTATAAGAAAAATATTTTTTAATGGAACCATTGAAAAGTAAGTGAGGGCTCCTGGCCCTCACTTCTGCATTCCTCCCATCAAAGATAATGAAAAAATCTTGTGGCCTTAAAATTCAGCTAAAAAAACAAAAAATCATGCTCTTGCTAAAACTGATTTGGCTCAGTGGATAGAGTGTCAGTTTGTGGACTGAAAGGTCCCAGGTTCAATTCTGGTCAAGGACTTGTACATTGGTTGCGGGCACATCCCCAGTGGGGGCTGTGCAGGAGGCAGCTAGTCCATGATCCTCTCATCGATGTTTCTAGCTCTCTATTCCTCTCCCTTCCTCTCTGTAAAAAATAAATTATATATATATATATATATATATATATATATATATATATATATATATTTTAAAAATTCATGCTGTGGGATTAACGAGTGTGTTACTTCTCCAATAGTATTTTGATTTATGGAAATATTTAGGATAAAATGATATAAGAAATTTACTTCAAAATAATCTAGTTGGGGAAAAGAGATAAACTGGGTGGGGAGAGAGATTGAGTTGATAGTTCATTAAAGCTGGGTGATGGGTATATAGCAATTCCTTATACCATTATCTTTCCTTCTGCATGTGTTTCAAAATTACCATAATATAAAGCTAAACATTAGAAGAAACATAGTGTCAATACTATGCTTAATCCAAATAAACCTATTAAATGGTAAAATTTCAGATAATTTGGTAACAGATAAATATTTGGGGGCACATGATTTTTTTTGGCTTTTTCTTATCTTATCAGTTACTTTGCTTTTATATATAGTACAAACTTATTTTTTACTTAGAAGGTGTCTCAGTTGCTTTAAGCTATAATTCATTTGGATTCCTTTTGCACAAATAATTTGAGACTGGATTTTTATAAACAAAGGCTTGGTTCTCTTAAATATCTTCCCTTTTTAGGTAACCATAAATAACTTGAGAACACTTATATTACAAAATATGTTCTGAGGTAAAGTAATACTACAGTAAAAAAAAACAATGATAATCTAGTTGGTTATTCCTTAAAAGAACAAATAGTTTATTATACACAGAAGGTGAAATCATAGAAGGTTTGATTCCTGGTCAGGGCACATACCCAGATTGCGGGTTCTGTATGGGAGGCAACAGATTGATGTTTCTCTCACCTCTTTTTTCTCTCCCTTCTTCCTTCCTTCCTTTCCTCCCTCCCTGCCTCCTTCCCCTCTTGATCCCTCTCCCTAAAATTAATAAAAACATATTTTTAAAAAGTTTCTAACCTGCCCTGGCTGGTTTGGCTCAGTGTATAGAGCGTTGGCCTGTGGACTGAAGGGTCCCAGATTCAATTCTGGCCAAGGGCATATGACTGGGGTGTGGGCTCCATCTCCAGTAGGGGGCGTGCAGAAGGCAGCTGGCCAATGATTCTCATAATTGATGTTTCTATCTGTCCTTCTCCCTTCCTCTCTAAAATCAATAAAAATATATTTTTAAAAAGTTTCTAACCTTTCAAAACTAGCAAATGTAGAAATAATACTGTTGCTAACTTAAGTCTTCAAATATTAACCATTAGGTATTCTTTAGTGTATTCCAGTTACTCATTAATCACTTTTTAGTGAATTTGTCAGTAACTTCCATCAGGGAAAATTGAATAACAAAGTCCAATAAATTTTCTAGATCAGAAGAATATTCAGATTTTATTAGTAGCATTCTTCTTGCTCGTGATATAGTCATTAACAAAAGTCTGCTATATAATTTGGGACCTATACATTCTAATTAAAAAACTAAACCCAAAGGTATGTTGTGCTGTTTATGGTTTCTTTTGTATGGCTTTAATGCCCTCAACATTTCCTTGGTGTACACTACTGAGCAAGGGAACAAGATTTCCTTTGTAACTGATACCTAAATTTCTATTCTGCTTTAAGCGTCTAATTTGCACTGTGAAGACATATAATTTGAGCCTTGTAGCTATATCACAAAAGTACAACAGTTTATGCTGATCTCTAATTTTCTGACTTGTGCTGGCTGTAATTTAAATTTTTTGCATGCTTTTAACTGCAATGCAAACCAGTATACATGAGAAACCTTTGTATATTGACAGAGGCTGGGAAAAGGATGCCTTGTTCTGATTTTAGATGAGCACTCCCTTTTCACAGCTGCAGGTGCAAGGGAACCCATTCAGAGTATTTGCTCAAGTCAGCTATAGTTACTGACTGGAACTGTAATGCTAATCATCACAAGCCCAATGAATGAAAATTATTACTATTATTAACAAATTCTAGAGGCAAGTAGAACTTCTTCCTTCACCTACGTATTGGGAACATAATATATGCTGTTGACACAATTTTGGTCATTTTACTATTGTGTGTGTTTTACTATTGTATCTGTTTATTAAATCTAGAAAAACACTTTGTCACTTATTAATACAGAATGGAATTATGCTCAGTGGAAAATCTGCTGTAACAAATGCATGTTCCACTTAAGAGATAATTGATAATGAACGTTACTCTTTCCTTTGCCTTAAGTTTCACTTATTTTTAAATCAACACATAAGGCAAAAAAATAACCACAAGAACAAAATTTACTCTAATTGCTCTCATTTCACATAACTGGCAAATTCCTTTTGAAACATATATGAGACAACTAGATGAGCAACCAATAAGTGAAGCTAGCTGGATGTTTCCATTAGAAACCCTTATTTATAAGGTTATGACTTGACCATTTTAATTAGCTTCAGGCAGAAACTTGGCATATCAGTTCAAAGCATGGGAAAAAATTTTGGTCTGCAAAACAATGATAATTCTCCTTCAACAGGAGAGATCAGAGAAAGGCTCTAAAAGAACTTAAGGACTGGATGGCTACACACAGATAAAGCAAATTAAAACATAAACTGCAGTAATAATCATTGCATTGGCAAAAATGTATGCCTTATGTATAAAACCAATAAGAACGCATCCTAACTTGATGATTACTATTACAATATGTTTGCTAGCAACCCAGTAGTGTCATCTCACATTTGCATATAACTCAAAAGTGCCAAAATGCTTTTGCACTTTTAATTCATTCAGGCTGAGCACTGTGACAGAAGAAACTTGTATGTTGCCATCCTTTTCCTTCATGTTCTCAAAAAACAGAAGACTCACTCCTGTTACACCCATTTATCCTCAGCCTTGAGTCAGATGCAAGCTGGTGTTAAGACCCACATGCTAGAAAGATGTGGAGCATCTCTAAGGATGCCTTCAAGGATGGGACTAAACCCCTAAACTGGCTTCTGTAAACACCACTGCCCACACTTGCAAACGTCCATTCTATCACTGCGTTCCCAATATCCAGGAGCGACACACAGGATCCTCACTTATAATTAGTGATTGATGTCACTCCAGAGCGTTCATGCTGGACACCTGGCCTCCCTCAGGCCACATGGGATGCGGGATAGTGCCACACACCAGCCTTTGGAAGTTCTAAGGACAGATGGAGGGAGACTGACACCCGGCATTTTAAATGGCCGGGATGCTCCTTGGCCCTTGCAAGACCTTTGGGGAAGAGAAGAAAACAAAACACAAAACACACACACACACACACACACACACACACACACACACACACACACAACTTACCACTTTGGCCCAGTCCAAGAACAACTGAGAACACCCAGGCCGCCCGGAGGAATGGGGCAGGACCTGGCCGGCAGTTTTGCAGGCAGACAAATGCGGCGCTAAGGAAAGCCAGGGCCGAGCAGCACATACTGCAAAGCAGCCCGCACCGCGCCCGCCGCTCGGCTGCTCTCCGGATGCGCGCTCGCGCCTCCCAGGCGCACCTTGGGGCCCGCGGAGCGAGTGTCGCTAGGACGTTTCCCGCAGGCCCGGCAGGCGGACCCCGCGGCTCGGAACGGGCGGGGCAGGTACGCTGGCCCAGGCGCCGCTCGGCATCTCAGGGCCCCCGCGGCCCTCCCAGCTCGGCGCGGTGGGTCCCCGAAATCTCTGCGAGAAGCACCTCCTCCGACTGCCAGAGGCTCCGGGTCGGCAACGCGAGCGCGGCTCCGCAGCCAGCGCCGGGACAAAGAAAAGAGCTTTTGTTTCTCCCCAGCCGACGGGAATTCTGCTGCATAAATCAGCTTAGCGAAGAGCCAAACACAATCAAACCCAAACAAAGCCCGAAGCTGGGGGGAAAAACCAGCCTCATGTACATTCACTGGGTGATGCTGCCTCTGTGGGAGGGGACGCCGGGGAGGCCGGAGGGGAAAACAGTCAAGGTCGCATCAGTCAGCCAGAGCTTCTTCCACAGGTGGGCAGGCCGGCCAGCTCCGCTTAGTTGCAGCTTTGCAGCCTCGTTAGCGGACCAGCGGGCAAAGTCGAAGGGGCAGCGCTCTGGCTGGCCGCGAGGAAGCTCGGGGCGCCCGCAGCCCGGGGAAGCGGCTCCGGGAGCGCCCTAGGAGCCGCCGCGGGCGCCGGCGGACCCAGAGCGAGGCATGGCAGCTCCCGGCTCGGGGAGGAGTGGAGCGCACCGCGGCGGGGGTGCCAAAGCCCGGCCTCGCGGGGCGGGAGCTTCGAGCCCCGGTCCTCTGGCCTCGGTGTACAGCTCAGATGTCCGGCCGTCCAGAGCCCGGGCTGCTGGCGCGCTCAGGGGTGCACCCCGTGAGGACGAGAGGGAGGCCGGTTGGTGGGGAGCGGGGAGGTGTGGTCCTGCCCGGGCCCGCGGGTGCGAGGGGTGGGGAGGTGACTCCCTGCGTGCCGATCGCTGGGCGCGCGCGGGGCCCCGAGTTGCTAGGAAACCGCCCCACGCTATGGAGCGCCGGGTCCCGGCAGCCGAGAGGCTCCGAGGCTGCTCTCAGCAACGGCAGCGCTCCGAGTAGCGTGGGCGGGACATTAGTGAGGCATGAAGTCACCGCGGCCCACACTCGCTCTTTGTTTTGCTCACTCCGGCTCTTTCTCTGCCCCTTGACTCTGCTGGTTGCCATTCCCATAGTTCACATGAACTCCTGAAGCGTAGCCCGTGCAGCAGGAATCGCACGCCCTGTTCTTTTCCCTCCCTCCCCGAATTCCAGCACCCTAACGCGCGCCTACCCGGGGCAGAGCTCGCTCCGTGCGAGCGGCAGCTGCGCGCTAACCCCAGCCTCTCGCCCCCGGCTCTGCGCACTCCTTTGTTTGGAGATGCTCAGCGCTCCGCAGCTGCCGCCTGCAGAGCGGATTCCGGGAGCCTCCCCCCCACCTCCGGCACCCTCTGTTCTGCGAGCGCACACTGCCTACTTTGCAGAGTTAGGAGCTCATCCTTTCTTCCACCCCAAGACTGTCCCGCGTCTCCCAAACATTCGGAGACTTGACCCGTCCAACCAGGTTAAGGTGAAATATGCTGTCGTTTCCAGTCTGCAGGAGCCGTACTGGAAGCCGCTGGCCGAAATTTCTCGGAGGATCTATCCTGGGCTGGGCAGCCCTGCTCTTTCCAGGGTCTGGTGGTGGCGGCTCTGGGCGTTTGCTAGTTATCTGGGGTCTTTTGACCTAAAAGTCAACTTCCCGATAAACATAACCAAGAAGTTACAAAGGCCAGCGAAACGGGAGAGAGAAGCGAGGGAGGGAGGTGGGATGGCATTTCTGCTGCTCGCAGATCAGAAATGTAGCTGCCTGCGGGAAGGGGTGTTTTGCTGCGCATCTGTCGAAGAAGCTAAGCGCCTCATTGGGTCCTGTCACTAACTGGCTAGGCCGAGGGAAAAAACCCAGTCCTCCGCATTGAAAACAAGGCATTGTTTCCAATCTCACCGAGAGTGATGCTTCTCTTTTACCTCTAGGGGCAGGAGTGGCTCGCTCTGGTGAAGTCTGGCCTCTTGTTTCCCACTAGCTGCCTACCAACCTCTCTCAGAGCAGCCTCCCCTTACAGGCATCAGACCCTCCCAGCCAGGTCAAGGTGAAGTATGCCGGAGTTTCCCTCTGTGCTCTTGCTTAATAGTTTCCATCTCCATATTTGAGCAAAAAACAAGTAGGAGGCTTTCTCTCTCTCTTTTTTTCTTTCTGTTTTCTCTTTGTTAACTGAGTGAATGGAAAGTACCTGATTAATAAGCCACAACATTGAAAACTCCCCCCTTTCAGGTGTGGATTGCACATTGAAGCCCACAGAATTAGCTAAGCAGACCAGGAACCCAGTTGGAAAATTACAAGTGCCCTGGATCTACAAAGCAGGTTTTTTGTTGAGCTTTTTTTTTTCTTCTTCTTCTTTTTTTTTTTTTTTTTTTTTTTTTTTTGAGGAGACCAAATGAATAGTTCAAACCTGAAAAACTGGTACTTGTAAGCACAGCTCCACTATAGGCAATGTATTCTAAATATGTACAGTGAAATCCAGCTCAGCTTCATTATTTATTTTCTTTCCTTAGTTTCAACTTTAAACAACTATAGTTTTGCTTTTTGTGGTCTTAAAGGAAAGGCCGGAGAAGTGGCTGGATGGGGGTGAGGACTTGAAATTTAGACACAAAATGAACATATTCAAACTCTAATTAGTACTCTTCAGTGGGGTAGCATGTGTATTTCCAGAGATTATTTTACAGTCCAAAGGAATGCAGCCACCCTTGAGACAGTGAAGTGCTATAATAATTAAATGATTAAATTAAAATAACTACCAGAAGTGAAAATTAAATACCTAGATATTGCCCTAGCTGGTTTGGCTCAGAGGAAAGAGCATCAGCCAGCAGACTGAAGGGTCCTGAGTTCGATTCCTGTCAAGGACACATACCTTGGTTTCAGGTTCCCCAGCCCTGGTCGGGGTTCAGACAGGAGGCAACCAATTGATAGGTCTCTCTCACATCGATGTTTCTCTCTGTCTCTCCCTCTCCCTTCCACTATCTCTCAAAATCAATGGAAAAAATATCCTCAGGTGAGGATTAACAAAAAAATAAAATACCAAAATACCATCACACTTCTATTAGAATGGTCAAAATCCAAAACATTAATAGGACCAAATGCTGGTGAGGATGTGGAACAACAGATACTTCATTCATTGCTGGTGGGAATGCAAAATTGTTTAGCCACTTAGGAAGACTTTTGTGGTTTCTTATAAAACGAAACACTTGCCATATAATCTAGCAATTGCTCTCCTTGGTGTTTATCCAAAGGAGTTGAAAACTTATATCAATACAAAAACAGAATCTTTAATTCATAGTTGCCAAAACTTGGAAATAACCAAGATGTCCTTTCATAGGTGAATGGATAAATGAACTGTGGTATGTCCAGACAACGGAATGTTATTGAGCACCAAAACGAAATGAGTTATCAAGCCATAAAAGATATGGAGGAACTTAAATGCATATTGCTAAGGAATATAACCCAATGTGAAAAAGCTACATACTAAATGATTCTAACTACATGACCTTCTGGAAAAGACAAAAAAAAAATAGAGATAGTGAAGAGATGTTTTCCAGAATAAGGGGGTAGGGATAAATTAATGGAGCACAGGGGATTTTTAGAGTAATGAAACTACTCTATAATACTACATTGGTGGATACATGTCATTGTACATTTGTCAAAACCCATAGAATGTACAACATCAAGACTGAACTCTAATGTAAACTATGGCCTTTGAGTGATAATGATATGTCATTGTAGGTTCATCCATTGTTATAATACTACTTTTATGGGATGTTGACAGTAGAGGAGGCTATATGTGTGGAGGAGTAGGAAGTATATGGGAACTCTCTATATTCAATTTTGCTGTGAACCTAAAACTACTCTAAAAAAATAGTCTATGAAACACACACACATACACACACACATACACACACAAACACACTACCAAATAAGATTATTGTGAGAATCAAAGTGGAGGTCATTGATGAAACATTATAGAAGTCATCATATATTTTCTCAAGGGTTTTTGCAATGCTAATTTAGATTATTTAAATTTTATACTATAAACAACTTTGAAAATGCATAAATGCTTACTTCAAGACTTCCATATTATCATAAAAATAACATCAAATATCTTTGCTTCGCTTTGCACATAACTTTCCCTTTCTGGTAACTATACAATTCTTTACCCACATTGATAGATGTAATGAGCATGTCTTTATATAGAAGCCTGTAATCCTAGCATTCTTTATGACAGTCTAGTTTTATGTCTCCTTAATCAAAGCACATTGTTCCACAATCTTTTTGGCCTGAAGTCATCCTTGTACAGTTTGACATGAAAGCTTTACTAATTTGTACATGATAGAGATGACATACTTAATACTGCCTTTTATTTATAATTTAACATGTTTAAACTTACATGTAGTCAAGAGGTTAAGTAAATATATATGTTTTTAAAATTATTGCTTTATTGCTCAGTACTCTGTGTAGCATTTTAAGGATCCATGACTAGTTCTCTCAAATAAAGGTATCTGCAGACATTATAAATACAACATTTCACTATTGACATAGTTCATCTGTTGAGCCATGGTGGTATGTGGTCTGATTTGCACATCATTATACTGTTAAAGGTCTTTGCAAACTTCAATAACTCACAGTGAGTCCACGACTAACATTCCCCCTTTCAGCATTTTCTCATGATCACATTGCCTCTGGAGAATGAAGTCACTACAAATTTTAAATTATTCTAATCAAATTCACATGGTATTTTTATTCTTGGAATGCTTCCATTTTCAGCCCCCTTCTCCAATTTCAAAATTACTTCATGTTTCACCTTGAAGAATGTGACCTTTTAACATAGTGAGGAAATTCTTTGTAAATTAAGCATAGGATATTCAATTTAAACATCCATTTAAT